CTGGGGGTGGGTGGGCAGATTGGGGGGGGGGTCCTTCAACTCCTTGAGACACCCAGAAGGCTTGCAAAGGGCTGTGGCTCAGTTGTAGCACCTCTTCCCGGCATGCTGAAAGTGCAGAGTCCTTGTCACCTCCAGCCCACCCAGAGAAGACCGTCTCGAGCGGCGACATGAGCTGGTGACTGGGGGTTAGATGAGGCAGCTGCGTATCTGCAAGAGTTTGCGGATGCTGAGCAGGGCTGTGGGCCAGAAGGAGGTCCCAGCTCTTTGGTGCGGGAGGAATCTTCCTCTGCCAGGGGACCGACCTGGAGAGTGTGGCCCTGTTAGCCAAATTGCCTTATTTTATTAATAAGCTTGGGGGAATTAAGAATATTAAATGGCAATAAGGCATTAACTATAGGACCATAACCTGTGTATACAGGAGTCAGAGTTCCCGGGACCCAGGAATAGGCTCAGAGACTGTGTAGCTAAAGTAATGGTTTCTTTACTAAAGGCTCTTCAAACATACAAACAAAAATCAAGCATTCACAAACCCATTACAGAGCTAGGAATACAGGTTTGAAAGTATAGAGACGTTTGCATGAGCAAGGAATATCGTTGGTTGGGTGATGCTTTACCTGTCCGATGAGACACTTGAATCATGCAGTGAAAAAGGGAACTAAAAGGAGGGAAGGAAGGAAGGGAGGGAGGGAAGGGTTCGTGGGCCAACCAGTGACACGCGTGGAGTGACTCCAGATGGATCCGGAATGGAACCAGGGAAGGTAGGCAGGGATGAAGAGAGGAGGAAAAGAGTGAGCCCGGAGAGGGCTCTCCTCATATACCTAAAATGTGACCTGAGGCAAGATGCTCATGGGGTCACCTGGTCCCTAGGAAGTACTAAAAAACCTTAAACTCTGGATGGGGCTGGGCAAGTGAAATTCAATGGTCGGCAGAGAGGGGCATGTCTGGGGGAAGGGGGGTGAGACCAGGGGGTCATTTCATAGCAAAGAGGTGCAGGAGCTCATTCGCATGACTCATTTGCATATGCCACACCCCCTGACCTCACCGGGAGTGTGTCAGAAGGCAATGCCCACCGCTCAGGCGCCACTGGACTGTTTTTGATTGCTAGCTATTGGGGGGGGGGAACGCACAGATCTGTCCCTCGCAGTGGAGGGAGAGCTTGTACCTGAATAAAACTTGGTCTTAAAGGTGCCACTGGACTGTTTTGGGGCGGGGGGCTGGCGGGGGGGGCTCTGCAGCTTAACTG